CAGTATCTTTACTAAGATATTGTCCTCCGGTCTACCGGGTCTGTCTTCAATGGGTCGGAGGTGCCAACTTGTCAGGGGCATTCATACCCCAAGTCTCTCCTGTGCGGGATCGCGGAAGAGGTTAGTGCGCAGTCATAATCGCTGCACATGACATCAAAGTCAATCCCTTGTTTTGCGTCCAACGGTCCAAGTCAGGCGAGAACACAAAAGACTCTCGTCATCATCATCACCACCACCACCAACTCGGGGGAGTATTCCAAAGCAGTGTCCACATGGAAATCCCTCCGAGCGCTCGTCCGCAGCACATGCCGACGTTTACAAGAACATAAGCCGTTTACAAGGGATGCCCCTCTGATCACCCCCGGAGGGCCCATCCATGACTATGGAAATTACCCCGAAGGGGTGCGACCAAGCCGAAGGTTTGGGCGTGAAGAGTCACGTTCAAAAAACATCAGATCGTAGACACCGTTTACAAGACAGCATATGCACGACAGGAGGAGTGAATGTCCCGGAGGGGCATACGACGGACACTGACTGAACAACACACGTGGAGACAGACTGAGTGACGAATCCCAACACGAACACACGACACACCAAGTCACTCGGTCATACACGCCACATCCAAACAATACCCGTTGGGCCACCCCGACCGGAGGGAGGTGCTTGAGCGGAGCGAGAACGGACGACTGGATGGAGGACACTGGTACGAGCAGGCAGCGAGGACCTTGTAGGAGTGAGGGAGTCACTGCTACTCTTGGGCCCCCTATTACTTAAGTTTGGTTTATAGGGGGCCATGGCACAACGGCCCAGCCCCAGTCCTAGACACACGGAGCATCACGTGTGAGTTGTAGGCGGAAACGGAGAGGGACGGAGTGGAGCTGTCATAAGAGCGGATTGGACAGGAGGGACAACGCACGTCAGATTGTGTAGGTTACGATGAGTTTCCATGCACATCCATACAGGAAGGGTCGGGCAGAACCCGGACAGAGGTGGGGAGATCCACACAACCGAGAGGGTAAGATAAAGATGGCGCGGCGCCCACTTCACTCAACAGAACCAAGGAGGGTTTCTTCTCTTCTTTTTTTTTCATCCATTCAACCGAGGCTGGTTGATCCTCTGTCGTTAGACAAGACAGAGTTTAGCTCCTGAGCCCGGCGAAAGTCATGGCAAGGGTTTGCGGGGCAGCAAAGAGACACCCCGTTCGACATGCAACACCAAGTGGTGTGCTTTGCCTCGCCCATTGCGGAGGCATTGGGACGACGAGAACAAGAGAACCCGGGAACGGTGACTGTGCTGTGCACTATGTTGGAATCTGAGGCGCTGCGCCGTGAGTTTGGCACTCATTGTCCCTTGGATCTAGAGTCTGCAGTCCGCTGTGGCAGCGGCTTGGTCCTTTTATCCACCCAATGGAAGCGTCTCCGAGAGGAGTCACAGCCAGTCAAGCGGGAACCGGAGGCAGTGTCGGCCATTCTGTCGTTGTCGCAGGACATGACCCGCTCTTACATCGAACTGGAGGGAGACATCAATATATGGCTCAGTCTTGCCTTGTGGCAGCACGGGTGTCGACCCCTTCCGAGGTATAGAACCAAGGAGCTGGAGCGTTCTCGGGGACGCGACTCCGCCTGTCGAGAGCACAGTCTCGGCTGCTTGCTCTTTTTCTACCACGTCTTGTGCGACCGCGAAGGCTACCGCCTAACGGAGGAGTCCCTAGTAGGCTTTCGCTTTGACCGGCTGGTAGCGCTTGTCATGCGCTTTTTGGGTAAAAGGCACTCTTCAAATCCATCATGGCATGCCGTGCGACTACTGCGCTGTGGAGGGCCCTACGCATTTGAGTGTGGATCATCTCAGTTCCTTGCAGGTCGAGTGTCTTCTCTGTGCCGTGACGCACATCACCGCTCTCATGGTGGCGTTTGTTGTCGGCAGCCTTGCTGCTCCTAAGATGACTTCACCCCGGCTCGAACGGTTGTGGAAGAGGGTGCATCCTATTCTCGAGACAGGACAAGATGATCCCAGGCTGGCAGAATAATTACTCCTTTGGGGTCTCGTGATGACCTCACTCGGTCCCTTACTCGCACTACCCTCCCGGCTAAGGGTTGTAGTACCAAAACAACTTGAATGCTTTTTGTGCAAAGCGCCTCATTGAGAACGAAGAATGAATTCCTACCCGTTTTCAAGGTAATGAACTAGGTCGTAGTCTTTTTGTTGTACTCGTTTACAAGCAAGCGACATGAGACAGTAGAGTGAACCCTTGACAAAGTCTCAATTCAGTTTACAAGTATTCACATCCGTTTACAAGATAACTCTCTTCAAGTAATCTACACTGAATGATCGCCGCCGGAGGCCTCCTTCACGACTACGAAATCAATCCCCCGCAAGGGGGTGCACACGGGCCGAAGGACCGGGTGTGGAGAGCCGCACTGACGGGACTTCAATCCAGTAAACCTGTTCACAAGGGAATTCACACAGGACGAGAGGAGCAGGTGTCCCAACGGGCACGCGACGGACAGAACACAGAAAACACACGCACCAAACAAACGCAAGTCACTTCACCGCACAAGCACACGGACAAAATACACACTGGGCCCGCGACGGGAAGGAGCATTGTCTGAGCCGGAGGCGAGTTGACGACCGGAGGGAAGTCAGAGGTACACGACAGGAAGGAGTGGACACAAAGAGACGGGAGGTCGCTTTGACTGCCGCGCCCCCTATATACTTAAGTTTGGTTTATAGGGGGCCATGGCACAACGGCCCAGCCCATAGACAGGTTGCTTTAGCTTCCATGTAGTACTAGACCGAAGGGAGGGGAACGAGTGCAGGTGGTCATAGCAGCTGATTGGACGGGACGGACAACGCTGGTCATCCATCCAGCTTCCCAAAGGGTTGCATGGATCCACCTACGTCCGGGGGGAGCGCCCGGACATTTCACATACACAGAGGGTATAAAGACCCGGGGTCGCCCATTGCAAGAGCATCCGGATGTTCTTCCTCTTCCTCTTTATTTCACCCGTGAGGGACATGGTGGCTTCGCCACGACTCGGAAGGTGAGGATTTCAAACGGCCGGGAGGCCCACTGATGATGGTGGCTTCGCCACAACTAGATGGTACCGGTATCTTCAACTGGATGTTCAGAGACAAGAGACTCCTTGACTTGGCCGGGAAGGCTTTACACGGGAATGTGGTGAGTGCGAACGAGGAAGGCATCTTCTTGATTCTCTTCCGATCCGAGCGGATCAGACGAGAGTCTTCTGCAGGCTTAGTTGGACAAGTGTCCACGGCACTCCCACTGCGCCCTACACGGGCTTCGTTTACCGTTTGCTCCCGGTAACATATCTTGAACATGCGTTCAACACCGCAAGGGTGTCTCACTGACGGCGTCACCACGGCCTAGAGGACGTCAACGCACTTTCAAACCTGGCTCTTTTGTAGAGCCTCGTGCACGACAGGGACGGGGAGCACACACGGCCAGTGGTGACTTGTCTTCTTTTCTTGTCTTGTGCAAGGCGGCACAAGGTTGCCCCGTTCAGCCACCCGGCAGTTTCAACACGTGAGGGTCTCGGCAACGTCCTTCTTGGCCTTTTCTTTACCAAGTGGTAAATGATTTCCTCCTTTTTTCCAGAGAGAGGGTACTTTTGCTTTATACGCACAGGGCTTGACAAGTGTGGAAGTGAGGAGACGAACTGTCAGAACGAGCTTGACGGGAGGGACTTTTCATTGATCCTAGGAAACACCAGGCGGACAGCCCCGCTCACACCCAAGACGGCACTCACGATGCCCTCACTCGTAGACAAACACCCGTAGACGGGCAGATAGAGATAGAGATAGTGACCGCGAGGGAGCATGGCTAGTCAGAGGCAGCTTCGGCCAGGTTCTGCAAGCTTCCATGCACATATCCACTACTCACCGGGCGTGAGACCCGGACAGTTGACCCTTGAAGGGTATAAAGGCACCCGCTGCCGCCCCCCCTTCCAACACACATGTAGACTTCACCCCAATGCATCCCCGGCCACCACGAGACGCAACATACGCAGGCACAGAGAGGGAGCGACGTGAGGAGCAACAGTGAATACGTTTACCAGGAGCAGATCTTCCACTCCCCCATCGTAGCCCTCACATGCGTTTACAAGAACATCACACTGCCCCGGCTACCACTCTGTGACACCAAAGCACTTGTTCCTTTCCCAGTCACCACGCCAACCCCCGTTCACAAGGCACAGACTCCAACATCACCTCCGGAGGACCCAAGCAGGACTATGGAAAACTACACCCGAAGGGTGTGCAGACGCGCCGTAGGGGCGGCTGTGAAGAGCCACGTTGACCATCTTCAATCGAGTAAAGTGTTTACTAGGAAACTCAACACCCGACAGGACGGAGGACGCGCGAGTGCAACGAGCAAGCGGACGAGACAAATCCACCCAACAAACAGAAGTCACTTCACCGTACAAACACACTACAAACAATACCCGTTGGGCCACGACCGGAGGGAGTTTTGTCTGAGCGGAGCGAGAAAAACCGAAAGGAGGGAGGTTTTGGACGAGAGGAACGAGGACACTGGGACTTCGACTGGCGGGAGAAGACAGTAGAGTGAGGGAGTCACTCATACTCTTGGGCCCCCTATTACTTAAGTTTGGTTTATAGGGGGCCATGGCACAACGGCCCAGCCCATAGAGCAGGATGAACGCACGTGATTCACTGCAGTAGTAGACCGGAGCGACAGGGGAGAGCACAGGTAGTCATAGCAGCGCATCCGACAGGGGGGAGGTCGCGGGTCCAATGAGGGCAGGTTACGCCAGTTTCCTTGCCCCCACACTTGGCCGGGTCGGATCCCGGACAGACAGACAGGCAGGCGAAGCACCACCGGTTGATTGGATGGATGACGCGGGAGCGGCCGTCTTTGCAGACCACCCTCGGGGTATATAAGGTCCAGCGACCGCCCACTTTTTTGTCCTGTGGGGCTGACCCCACGATCATCCCTTCTCTTCCTCTACCACGGCCATGTGATCATGGCGGCTCTGGCACGGAGTCAAGTCTTTTGGGTCTCTTACCAGCCTGCGGCGGAAGAATCGTTTGACGATGTTCTTGAGTTGGTGGACAACGTCACCCCTGGTCAACCCGCCTTTTGGGCTGGCGAAGTGGACCGTGCTGGCATTCGAGCAGTTGACGTGGTCATCTGCACTCCAAGGAGACAGAGGGTCGGCAGCGTTTGTAATGCAGCCAAGTGGAAGCGCAAGGGGGCGCGTGGAGACATACACGATGCGAAATGGCCGGAGACGGGCCAGACACCCCATTCCTTTTTGAGCAAATGGACGGATGCCATGTCAAAGGAATTCCAGCACCGGGAGGCTGGATCGAGAAAGGACCTTTTTCGCCATCTCGACGCTCACTATCAAAAGGAGAGGCAACGGGACAAGAAACGACGGGTGGGTCGTCAATTGCGTCGCGGACGCGGCAAGCCTTCTTCTTCCCCAGAGACCGGGTCTCGATTGCAAGCGGCCCCCACTGGTGTTGTCCAAGTGGATGATGGGTGTGAATCCGAGCCGCGCTTGCCGAATGGCTCTGCGAAGGACGATCCAGGCCTATCTCCACCGCGTTGGTCCACCTCACTGCACTTGCCGGCGGCGAGTGTGATGCAGTCACTCTTGGACGAGGGTGTTCAAGCAGCTGACGAGAACTTCGTTCCAGTACCCCCCTTCGGACCATGCCCACCGGAATTCGACATTGGTCTAGCGTTGCAGCAGGCCGGCGTTCTGTCTTGGGAAGACTGTTTCCCAACTCCGGACCGGGATTGCGACTCGGTCTTGTTTGGCGATGTAAATGTCGAGGATATCAGCGTTGACCTGAACTGGACCACCAGCTTGTCTATGGTGGACTTGCTCCTTTGACGGACGCGATTTCTGTCATGTACATATGAGCGATGGTGCTTCTGGTGTTGGGGGAGTCACTTTCCTCTTTTGGGGTCCACGATCCCCTCGTTTGTATACTTGCACGCACTACATAGAGTAGCACTCTTCCGTCTCGCCTGTGCAATTCACCCGTGACTCTGTGCTTGCTCACACCCGGTCACTACGGCACACGACAATAAATGGTCGGTCTCAAACCGTTTACAAGGTGACTCGCTGCAAGTAATCCAACTTGAGCATAAGCCCGCAGGGCATTTTATCGTTATGGTCATTACCTCCGAAGGAGGTGCGGACAGGCCGTAGGACTGGCTGTGAAGAGTCACACTCACGATATTCAATGGAATGAGACGTTTACAAGAACAACTACACAGTCACGCGACGGAGGACCTGCGAGTGCAACGAGCAAAGGGACGAGACACACACCACACAACAGACGGAAACACGGACTGAGTGAGTTCAACGACACACGCAACACACTCTCACCCACTCACTCACGTCCAGCCCGCACCAGCCAATCACACGTTGGGCCCGCGACTGGAAGGAGCCCTTCGACCGGAGGGAGTTTTGAACGAGTGGAGCGAGGTCAAAGGTACCGATCCGGAGGTGAGGGACACAAAGAGACGGGAGGTCGCTTTGACTGCCGCGCCCCCTATTACTTAAGTTTGGTTTATAGGGGGCCTCTGCTCCATGGCCCAACGTTCTAGAGCAGTGTGTTACTACAAAGTAGATACGCTGCAGTTTTTAGCACGAATTGACAAGCAGGAAAGAAGTGGGTCATAGCAGCCAATGACACGGAGGAATGGCGGGTCAAGATGCAGCTTACGTAGTTTGCATGCACACCGGCCCTTATTGGGAGGGCGTAGCAGCCGGACACAAGTGGGGAGCACCATCGGAGACAGCCTTCCATTGGTGGAAGCGCAGCTTAGGAGGGCGGTGCCCCTCTTTTCTATTCTTTTATGGTGTGTTAGGCCCGCTTGGGCGGCCGTACAAGAAGGCCATGTAGTGGCTTGTTGGCCTCGCCTTTTTTGTCTCAACTCGCTTTCGCCGGGTTGCGATATCGTGCAGCATTGTAGCATTGCTCGTTTTCCCGTGAGGGTAATAGGGACTCCGTTTGCGTTTGAGAGAACTTTGCTTTTGTCACTGCAAACACTGCGGCGCTTCTCACTCACGCAGAGTGTGGCCTGGGGTTACACCTACATCTTGAGAGTTGGAGGCTGTTCACGGGGGCCTTGCTGCGCCCTATCCCGCTCGTGGTTGCAGTGGGCGGTGGTGCTCACCCTGTCTCGAGACCTCAAGTGCTTTGGAGACGGGGTACGCGAGTCTCTTCGTCTTCCGTCTTTGCGAACGGCCAGTGGCTGACCACTTGCACAGCCAGGTGTGCGTTCTAACACGCAGGACTCGGCGGACAGGGTTCCATTTGTGACTCTATGTCGGAGACGACGGGTGCATTAGCACCTGCAGCTGATCCAGGGACGGCCTCTCAGTCCTCAGACAAGCCGGAAGGGTGTCTTTGTTGCGTCACGTGGCTTGAAGCCTATGGTGAGAACCGTTTTATCTGGACATGGAAAACGCAGTGTCCAGTTGCCATGCTCGATCATCCGTGGTATCGACCTTTTTTTCTCGAGGTGCTTCGGAGAGGACGTGGCTGGGGCATAGACCCCGAGTCGGGGATGGCGATTGTCATCAACGATGGCGATGCAAGTAACCTCGTTTTTTGAACTGTTCAGTTTTGTCTGCTAACGGGTATTCCATTTCAGGACAGGAGGAGATGAAGGAGACGTGAGTTGTTTCCCACGCGATAGGTTGCGGCTGTCAAAGCGGCTGAGCCCGTGGCGGCGTTGGCATCTTTTTGCTTTCACTGCGGAGATTGATCGTCATACTGTTTCTTTGGAATGCTGATATGGTGGACCGTTTTTACTTTGGATCTGCTTGGTTTAGGCCTTAGATGCGTACTTGAGCAAGACTAGACTCTCAGGCACGCCGAAATATCAATGGAACCGGCCGTGCTTAAATACAATTCGCGATAATGAATCAATTACTCCACTTCCCATCGGTCTCAATGCGTTAACATGATTCTCTTTAACATGGTAATGGTCACATGAATTACAGATTGATGTCGGAAAGATGGTTCTTATACACCACCCCGCGTTTACAAGTAGATCCCACTCGTTCACAAGAACACTTGATCCCAAGTACTCTACTCGGAATGACACCCCGGAGGGCATATCTAGACTATGGAATCTACCCCCGTAGGGGGTGCGACTGAGCCGAAGGTTCAGGCGTGAGGAGCCGCGCTCAACCATCTTCGATTGAGTAGCACGTTTACAAGCCAGTAGATACACCACAGGAGGAGCAACCGAAGGGCGACGGACACTAACAAGACACACACACAAACCCCATTCAAGTCACTCCGCCATACAAACACACTACAGACACTACACCGTTGGGCCCGCGACTGGAAGGAGCTTTGTGCGACCGGAGGGAGTTTTGAACGACAGGATGGAGGTCAAAGGTACGCGACTGGAAGGAGTGTGCAGACGGTGACGGGAAGTCACTGTCACCCCCGGGCCCCCTATCACTTAAGTTTGGTTTATAGGGGGCCATGGCACAACGGCCCAGCCCATAGAGCAGCTTGAACGCACGTGATTGCATGCAGTCATAGAGCGAAAGTGACCAGCGGGAGGGAAGCTAGTACTAAGAGGCAGGGGGAGGGGACCGACCACGCCGCGTCCAATCACAGACAGTTTGCTGGCACAGCTTACATGGATGGATCCACTACTGGCCGGGTTGAGCACCCGGACACTCACACATACACGGAGTATAAAGAGGGGTGGCGCCCCGTCCAAATGAGTCCAGTGGACTTCACCTTTTTCTCTGCTTTATGCAGATGTGGAGCTCACCGCGAAGGGAGTTTGTCGTTACTTACTCAGACGCAGGAGCGTTGTCTATCCAATTCGGTGGATATCTCTAGCCAAGTACGAAGTCGACGGCTTGGCCTTGGCACAGAGTACCTTGGCCCTTCTTCGCATCAAGTGGTGCACTCAACTCGATTCCAGCAGAACGAGAACCTTCTCTTCTTTCGAAAATCCTTGAAGCCTGCGCAGTCATGTCGCAGTCGGCAGGCCGCCTCTCAGATCAGAACGTGGACGTCATTCGGGGGGATGAAGACCGGTGGTCGTCTATGTGTTGTGGATGGACGTTTACCCCCGAGCAGTGGGTACGCATCCAAGGTTGCCTCGACTTTACTAAAGCGGGGGCTGGAAGATGACCGGAACCGTTTAATGCTGTCGGATGACATGACCCGCCCGTTTGGCCAGCTCGAGAGAGAGCTGCACGAGGTACTGTGCACTGCCCTCTGTTGCTTTCCGGAGGAGGTACCCGTCTGGCCCTGGCTCATGGCATTACCGCACCAGCTGCGGCGGTTTTGTAGCCCCTACCCGAACGAGGCGGATCACAGCCTGGGCTGTTTGATTTCTGCGTACTGCCGGCATTACTCGAGTGACGCGGGGGAAGAGGGTCGAGAGCGTCGCCTCGTTGTCGACCAGGCCTTGAGTCGTGTCCGGGCGTGTCTTCTACAAGGCTATGCGCCGGAACAAGGAATTGTTCGTCGATGCTGTGATCATGCTCGGTGCATGAATCGTCTAGGGTTGACGAGTGTCACTGTTGAGCAGGCCGAGGGTTTATTGTGCGTGTATACCCACTGCACTTCTGCGGTCTTCGCCGCGGTGGTTGGTAGCACCGATGCACTGGAGTTGGTTCGAATTCGGTTTGACCGCCTTTGGGAGCGAGTGCACCATCTGCTGTTTACGGGGAGGATGACCTACTCTTGGTGCTGGCATCGCGACTAGACAATCTGCGTAGAGCACCACTTGACATCTTGTATCGCTGAGACGCTAGCCCTTTTGGGTGTTGGCGAAACCTCATTCGTTTACGGAGACATTGGTATGGACTCAATAGACTCAATAGACTGAACGGGTTTCATCTCTCTATACCACCGTGAATTGTTCCTGTACTCATACTTGTCCACGTAGGTTTCACCCACATAAAGCGTTTACAAGAACACCCAACACGTTCACAAGGCGATACCCCTTCCCGGCTACCACCCCTTTCTTCCAATCCCTTCATGGATACGAACACAACCCCCCCGAAGGGGGGTGCAGACGCGCCGAAGGGGCGGCTGTGGAGAGCCACGCTCACATCTCTTCAACCGAGCACATCGTTTACAAGCACACATGCACAGTCACGGGACGGAGGACCTGCGACCGAAGGGAGCAAAGGGACGAGACACGCACGCACCAGAACAACCAAAGTACCACTTCCACCCAACCCACATACAGACACTACCCGTTGGGCCACCCCGACCGGAGGGAGGTGCTTGAGCGGAGCGAGATCTGACGACTGGAGGGAAGTCAGAGGTACCGAGCAGGCGGCGAGGGACTAGTAAAGGGACGGAGTCACTTCTACTCTTGGGCCCCCTATATCCTTAAGTTTGGTTTATAGGGGGCCTCTGCTCCATGGCCCAGTCACTAGAGAATGGATGACCGCACGGGCAGGAATGAAGTACTAGAGGTCCTTGACAGGCGGGAAAGTGACCTAGTCCTAACGACCAATCAGACCGGCGGGAGGAGGTCGGTCACATGGTGTAGCTTCCACGCAGTGGTTGACTGTACCCATGCATGAGTGCATCGATGATGGCCGGGCGTGAGACCCGGACACGAGTGGGGGATGCCACACCACGGAGAGGACTACGGAGTATAAAGAGGGAGACCCTCGCCCACATTTCTAATCCGAGCAGGATTCTTTCCTTTACCTTTTCTTTGCTTGTTAAAGCAGATGAGGCGGACGGACAGACCGTCCAACACTGTGACTACAGCAAGTCCCGACGAGCGGGAACAGAACGTACCGTAAGTGCGACACGGGACGAGACAAAGTGGCATTGTATGCCAGACCGGAATAGGAATATTACCTGAGCAGCGCGCCTTCTTCAGATATAGACGGAACGAGGTGAAGTACAGAAGGGGCTTTCATAGCCCTGCTGGGGGCACCTTCTCCTTACCCGTCCTTCCGCGGCGGCTCGCTGGAGGCCCGGCACGGTGATAGCCGCTCTTGGTTCGGGCAGAATGGTTACCGGAACCACTAAACCGGGCGGTGAGAACAATCCCGTCGCAATGGGACGGCCAGTGGCCGACTACAGCTCGGAGTGTAGGTGCCTGTGTCTGCACGATGATTGCGAGAGACTGCGCTCGAGCCTATGGTGCCGCCATTGGTGTGTCGTGCGCTGGGTGACGAAGGACCACCTTCTCAGCCCCGTGCTGGAACAGATGCTGATCCGCCGCCTTAGGGGGAGACCCCTCCGCTACTGGGCATCCAAGTGTCTTGCTGAGGAAGATCTCTGGGAGTATCGCTTCTTGCTCTACGTGGACCCCGACGGCCAGGGACTTAGTCGGCACGAATTCGTCTCTCTCGACCCTTCCACGTGGAAGAACCCGGGGACAGACTTTGAGCATGACGAGTGTCAGGTCTGGAATTTCCGCTGTTGTGCGGAAACACTGAAACAGGACGTGGGTGGTCATGTATTGAGCATCCTCAGTCGCCGTGGAACTTCAGTTCTGTTCGGGGACCACAAGCTGCGTTGTCATCTCGAGGAAGAGATGCACCGAGACGGTGTGTACTCCTGTGAGACGTAGCCCGACCCTGTGCTATTCATCTGAACGGAGGTGATGGCGGAGGACCGGACTTTAGCAGGCCGCGTAGGGAAGACATGCATGACTCGGGCGAGAATTATCCGACATTGGTAGATTACGAGGTCTGCACACCGCAGTCACGCACTGTAGACTAGCCCGGGTAGTCGGGCAACACAGGCTTGATGAGGACTCGACGATCCCTTCACGTGTAGATAGACATGGAGTACCCGGTAGAAGTGCATGAAATGAACAGACGACAGCAAGAGCGTTTACAAGATAGCCATCCAAGTTGCCAAACCGACCACGTTCACAAGGGACCGACTCGTAGAGCACCTCCGGAGGACCATTTCAGAGCTATGGTCATTACCCCGAAGGGGGTGCGACTAGGCCGCAGGACTAGGCGTGAGGAGCGGCGTTCGCGCTATTCGACCGAGCAAGGCGTTTACAAGCTGGTCGACTCCAACACGAGGAGCGATTGTCCGGAGGGCAAGCGACGGACACACAACAGTAGTACAGTCCATGGGGACTGACCAAGCGAATGTAATGAGCGAGGGAATAAACGGGAGGAACGAGAACAATGAGTGAGCCAGGCGAACACAATTGAAAAGTAGGTACCGGGCACGTACGAAACACATACAAACAGTACCTCTGGGCCACGAGCGGAGCGACTTGAACGACTGGAAGGAGTCTTTGACGGAGGAAAAGGTACGAGCCTGGAGGGCGAAGTTACTGTGGGTGACGGAGTCACTCACTGCATGTGCCCCCTATTACTTAAGTTTGGTTTATAGGGGGCCTCTGCTCCATGGCCCAACGTACTAGAGCAGTGTGTTCATACAAAGTAGATACACTGCAGTTTTTAGCGCGGGAGTGACAAGGCGGAACGAAGCGGGTACTAAGAGCTGGGGGAGGGGACCGACAACGCGCGTTCATTGGTCAGCTTCGCAGTTGCATGACCCCACTACAGGACGGGTTGGGAGCCCGGACGGATACAGCACACGCGGCTGGGGACAAAGCCGTATAAAGGGCAGGCTCGCCCCCCAACAAGTAGAGCGACTGTGGGACACTTCTCTCTTTCCCTTGCATCTTCACAACGGAGTGGGACACGAGAGAGAGAACACTGTTTTTGGTCGGCCAAGGAGACGACTCGATCCAGGGTAGGCCATCCCTGTTTTTTCCGACTACGGGGGAAATGGCGGCCCGGAGGATATCGCTTACTCAGGCATAGAGTCAGGTGACTACGCGGGAAGCCCGCGTGCTGTGTATCTATCGTCTCTGGGTCACTGGGGTGACGCGACCACCCCACGTCATCGCACCATTGGAATAGGTGCACTGTTCTTTTGGAACCACGGAGTGATTTCCGTCGATTCGGGATCGATTACCTGTCGGGACTCTTTTTCGTTCCGAGCTATGGAGCGGGCACGACAGCAGCCGGACTTCAGCCAGGTGGCGCACAACTTCAGGGATGCAGCCGAACACTTTGAGCGGTGCGAAAACCTGCCGGCAGTGGACGGCGGGGCTCGTCTTCTCGAGAGGATGGAGCTCATGATGGAGCGTTTTACCGCCTTGGAGCAGACGATGAATCGTCGCTTTGACCAAGTGGACCGCCGAATGGATGGCTTAGACCGCAAGGTCATCGTTTCGTGGGTTGACCCCTCCGTAGTGCTTCTCAGCTTGAGCTGCTGACCCTACTTCTTCCCCGTTCGGTAGGAACCGGAACGCAGTGGTGCGGGCTCGGAATGGCACGGTTGTCCGCGGAGACATGGATCTGGTGCCCCTGCACAGCGTTCTCACGGGCGAAGTGATTGACGGCTTTCCTAGGAACGTGAATCAGATGGAAAGGCTGCACGGTAGGCGGCCCTGTCAATGTTGAATCGTCCAGAGCTGACAAAGTCGCCCGGGGTGACAGCACGAGATGTGGACCAGCTATTGCTCCACGTGGGAGAATCCGTCGGGCTCCGCAGCGGAGAAGAAGAAGAACCTGAAGTTTGCCACCGGGCTGGTCACACGGGAGCTGTGACGTTTTCAAAACAGATTGATGATGGATGGAGTTTGTCCCTTGTACTTCGGAGCGTAGGCGTTGGGGAACACTTACCGCATCGGCGTGTCACGATGCCCTCACATAGCAATAGTGTCTACTCTTGGGAGGCCAATGAAGAAGCCGCGTGACTTGAACAGGAACATGCACATGCACACGTGACGCACACTGAGTAGACATCCACAACGTTGACAAGTATTCCTCAAGCGTTTACAAGAACACCACCCAAAGAGAGTAGAGTAACCCACGTTTACAAGGTAGCCCATTCATTCACTCTGTACTGAATTATCACCTCCGGAGGACTCCTTCATCACTTCGAAAGCAATCCCCCCAAAGGGGGGTGCAGACAGGCCGAAGGACTGGGTGTGGAGAGCCACGCTCACATCTCTTCAATCGAGTAAACCCGTTTACAAGCCGGTCTTCACGCGACAGGAGGAGCAATTGTCCCGCAGGGGCATGCGACGGACCATACACAAGAACACAGTCCCGGGAGACTGACCGACCGAATGCAATTCAAAGTCACTGGCACATGCACTGACAGTACAAAAGCTACATCCTGGGCCCCGACCGGAGGGAGGTGCTTGAGCGGAGCGAGTCTTTGCACGACTGGAGGGAGTCAAAGGGACTTCGACTGGCGGGAGAAGACAGTAGAGTGAGGGAGTCACTTCTACTCTTGGGCCCCCTATTACTTAAGTTTGGTTTATAGGGGGCCTCTGCTCCATGGCCCAACGTACTAGGTCGCTTACGTAGTTTGCAGACAGTCCATAGCGCGGATGTGATTGGAGAGAACGGAGCCGGTCATAACAGGGAGTGAGACGGGATGGATCACCCTGGTCAATCAGACAGGTTGCAACGCTTCCTTGACTGCATCCACTACTGGCCGGGCGCAGAGCCCGGACACTTTCGCCGCTACGGAGTATTTAGAGGGGGGCAGCCCCCCGTCTCTTTTGGATCCAGGCATCCTCTTTCTTTCTCTTCTTCGTACTGTCGGGACGACACTGCCAGAAGCCAAGTTGCTGTACACGTTGCACCTACCATCTTGCTTTCTTGAAGCAAGTCCTACTTGTGCCACTTCCACTTTCCAGTGACGGAGTCTTGTACTGCCAGGATGTCGCCCGTGGTGAAGCGCGGCCGCAAGGCTGATGAGGTAAATGACCCGTCGGAAGGAACGACGCAGCCCAGGGCAAGACTCGAGTGATGTCTTTGACAGACGCAGACGTGGCGTCGGGGAGCAGCTCCTTGGCTGTCCTCGGAGGCCGCTTGGTCCAGAGTATGTGCAGCGGAGACCGGGGCCCGGAGGGTCGAAGCTTTCCTATCTCAGCAGCGCGGATGCAATCTCGTTGGCGAATGACATGTTTGGCCATGACGGATGGAGTTCGGAGGTCATCGAGCAGTCTTGCGAATCCCGCACAGAAGGCAACCCCGCGAAGTGGATGACGGAAGCCGTGTGCAGGGTGCGTGTCACCGTCTTTGGGTGACCAGCGGAGCCCCAACTTCCCACGATGGAACCGGCTTTGGCGGGGGCGACAAGCGCAACACGAGGGCGGAAGCCATGGAAAAGGCCGTCAAGGAGGCCGAGACGGATGCTCTCAAAGGGCCCTCCGCATCTTTGGCGAGGCATTGGGAAACTGTCTCTACAGCAAGCCGTATCTCTCCTGGATCGAGAAGGTCCGGGCCCGAGAGGGCAAGCAGGATGAGACGAAGCACTACACCGCGGATATATTGGTCCGGAAGCCTCGGAGTGGTGGTCTCCCGAGCAGTCAATCCACTCTTTCCTTTCCACGGCAGGGCAGTCTCCCCCGTCCGGGCAGACAATCAGTGCGTGCATTGCCCACGAATGATTACTACGACGATGAAGAGCTGTTTGAGGATGTTGGCTTTGAACCGTAGTCCAGTGGTGCTGCGTTAGCAATTGTGACTGGATTTGCGCGGGTGCTGTCGATGACTCGTTGAAGGAGGACTTCACGACAGCCTCACGCCGGGGGGCTGGCACAACGGCCCAGCCCATAGACACCTTTCACGCACGTGATTGAGTGTGGTACTAGCACGGATGGACGGGACGGGAAGAAGTGAGTCATAAGAGACAGCTCGACAGGGGGGAGAGGGTCACGTTTCGATTGGATAGCTTCCACGTAGTGGTTGCATAGCCAGTTGCAGAGATGGACGGGGTGGCAACCCGGACATGGGTGGGGACCCCACAGAGAACGGAGTGTTTAAAGGGCTTGATGCCCGCCCACCTTCTTTCGACAAAACCTGGCAAGGTTTCTTCTTCTCAACTCGTACACAGAGTTCCACTGGTTGGTCGTTGAGGAGCAACGCAAATGGGCACATTGGCAACATCGACCCGATCTATCACGAGACGTGATTCCTCAGGGACACTGGTAAGGTCCGATCCTCCTGATTACATTTCCCAAGTGCAGTGCACCGCACGGAGACACGGGAGGATTCCTTTGGTTAGACCGAGAGTCGCCAGCTCTCTTGTGCCAGAGATCTTTGCTTACTGCTGATGCAGAGCATAACGGAGTGGACCTTGCATTTCGTTGTCAAAGCACGGAGTAGCGGGCATGGAGCCCTCTCCATCCTCGGCTTCGTCTTCTCCCAAGGCAGGGTCTGCAACCTGCTTTTGCTGTCCTCATCCAGCGTGCGCCCGCTTGAAGGGGCGTCAGTGGTGTCGCCACTGGTTCTTTGTCCGATGGGTGGCATCGGATCATGCAATGCCTTCGGAGATGGTGCAACGCTTACGCGCACGTCTGAAGAAACACGGGTTTCGCTTCTGTGCCTCCCGCAGTGGTACGGGCGTCTATGATATCCTGATAAGAGTAGAGTCCGAGGGGGGATTAGACTCGGCATCGACGCTTTTGCCCGACCGGGGGGACGTCGAATTCGACTTCAGGCTGAGCCGTGCATGGTGTATGGCCTGTTGCGAAGATTCTATCAAGTGGGACGCGAAGGCATGGATGCTTGCTGTAAGAGACGGCATCGATGAGGTCGTCTTTGGGGACACGACATTGAGCGGGGAGCTGCACCGTGATATTGACCAGGAAGGTCTGTGGGTCCCGGGCTACACGATCATACAGCGTTAGTCCCTAGGCTTCGCGTCTTTACAGCCTCTGTCTGTCCTCCCGTCCAGCTGAGCTTTCTTTCGTGAGCACCATCCAAACATGGCGGGGGGAGGGGTTTTCTCTCTGAGAACGGCGGGCAACGCGCGGGGGAGGCCCCACCTGCCTAATCGAGACCTCAGAATAGCATCACCTTCTACGCGGTCGGTCAAGAACAGACTATGCTATGCACGAGACAAGAGGCTGGAGTGCTGGATACGACACTTGAGTGACGATGCCATCGCTTGGGTTCAAGATGTATGCGTAGACAATAGAGACTTGATTTGCGTACGGGACGCATGAATCTGTGATTGTACTGTATCCCTAGATATATCTCCACACGTTTACAAGAACACCCAATCCGTTTACAAGGGAATGATACTCCAAGCGCTACCACCTCTCACCCTCAATCCCTTCATGGATACGAACACAACCCCCCCGAAGGGGGGTGCGCACGCGCCGTAGGGGCGGGTGTGAAGATCCACACTGAAGAATCTTCAATCAAGTACAGCGTTCACACGACAGTAGATACAGGACAAAGAGGAGCGAGCATCCGTGAGGGTGCGCGACGGACAAAGAATAATGTGTAAGCAAGATGAACAGCTTTCTGAAAGTCACTGGCACGCATACAAGCAATACAAACAGTACCTCCCCAACACAAATGGGCCACGACGAGGGACGAGTCGACCCCTTGACCGGAGGGAAAAGGTACCGCAGCGGGACGCGAGGATTGTATGTGACGGGAGGTCACTCTGTGCTTCGGCCCCCTATTACTTAAGTTTGGTTTATAGGGGGCCATGGCACAACGGCCCAGCCCATAGACACCTTTCACGCACGTGATTGAGTGTAGTACTAGCACGGATGGACGGGACGGGAAGAAGTGAGTCATAAGAGCCTGACGACCGGGGGGAGGCGGCACGTAAGGGGTGTAGCTTGCACGTAGTGGTTGCATACACGCAGCATGGAAGGGTCGAGAAGAACCCGGACAGACGTGGGGACACACACACCGAACAAAAGGTATAAGACGGGGGCTGCCCCCCCTCGACACGGAACCCAGCGGTTCTTTCCTTCTTTCTCTCGGAAGAGAGGACTTGGTGCCTACGGCACGACGCGCAGGAAGCCGAGGTGAGAACAGACGGGTCACGGCAGGGACGACTAAGAGACACGGACGGACTCTTTCTGTCTTTGCTTCACTGGACCAGGGACGAGAAGGACAAAAGCCCTACGGGCGACGCGGGAGCAACAGAAGAACGGAGTAAGCGACGGGAGGACGGACTCACAAAGTGACGGGAGGAGCACATGGGTCACGGCAGGTGACAGACTTCTTGTTCCTTGGCTTTTTCTTCCCGTGGACGGAGAAACACCGGGTGCGCAATTCAGACGGAAGATGGAACAGACTGGCTCTGTTTTGACCCGCTCTTCACTTCTCGATTGAACTGGGTTCAGAAGGGGACAGAGTGACGGGAGGAACTCGATCTTTGCCTTGTGCACGCGCTGCCGCTTGTTTCCGTCGACAACATCCACTGCGTTCAGCATCCCCGATGGGGTGCCTCACCCAAGGCGGCTTTATGGCCCGGCGGACATGACAAGAGTAAGAGGAGACTCTTATTAGTATGGCACCTGGCATCTTCGCCTCAGCAGGCTCTTGGTGGTGACAGCATCACCCTCGGCCACATACGGCCACACCTGCTAGACAGTACCGGATCCCGTCCGATCTCCGTTAGTCAACCTGGCAAGGGGCAGATGAGTAGTTGGGTCGGTGACGACCAGCGAACACCGGCTGCTGTATGTTCAGTTTCTTTTTGCCCTTCACTGCGAGAACATGAAGGCGTCCCCCATGGAAAATAGTAGGTAGTGAGTGAGGTAGTGCTTGGACGAGGCCTC